ATATATATATATATACACACACAATGGAATACTATTCAACCACAAAAAAGAATGATATTCTCCCATTTGCAGTAACACGGATGAGCTTGGAGAAAATTAAGTTATGAAATTATGTTTTCATATAAAAATTATGAAATAAACAAGGCACAGAAAGAGAAATACCACATGTCCTCATTCATAAATGGGAGCTAAAAAAATAAAAAAAAAATGAGAAAGGAAGGAAGGAAGAAAGAAAGAAGGAAAGAACCAACAATCACAATAATGTACTGAACTTTCAAAAGGAGAGAACAGAACTGTGTTTGCTAGAGGTGGGAAAGGGGAGGAAGGTTAGTGAGAAATTGATTAGGGGTCACAAAGAATAATTATGTTTTGTAATGACGAATATACTGATTATCCTGATTTGATCATCACATATTATACACAGGTATTGATATTCAACTCTGTATCCCACAAATATGTATAACTAATTATGTTTCCATAAAAAAGGCAAATATTTTTTCTGTATTGAAGCATCTTTAAATATATTATTTTATGCATTTTCAATTATATGTGTGTGTNTGCCTGACAGGTAAGAGCTTTGATTTCAATACAAAGCCAAGCCTGTTGTATATAAATTTACATCATATAAATTAATATAATTTATGAAATTGATACTTCTTACCATATCAATACAGAATAGCAATGCTAGATGATCCAAGTACAGTTTTAATATTTCTTGTGATTGCCATGGACATTTTTTTTTTTTTTTTTTTTTTGTATTGGGGAAAATGATTATACGGTAAGACTTAATGGGTGGTAGAACAGACCAAACCAAAGCAAACAAACAAACAAACAAATGAAAACAACAAAACATTTTCTTTTGGCATCCAAGGAATTGCCTTTTTAAAAAAGTGCTCTTCAGCAACTACCAAATTAGTTATGATTCATTGTTCAAAGTTAATTAAAATAGCAAACCATGGCACTTATTCCTCTCTTGTTAAAGAGTTGATGACAAATATATCCAGAAAAGAAATAGGTAGTTATATATTATAGCTCTGTAGCATATTTTACTTGTTTCGTTGATCTGATAATAGAGAAACTTACCAATTTCCCTGTGGTACCATATTTAACTCAGTGCAGAGAACATTCACTGTGTTTTGGGGGAATATCATTTAATAAATGCCAGCATGGTTGTTTTATGAATTCTTACACTGTTTCTCCGGCCATATCATCTTATAAAATTCGCACACTCCTTTGCTTAGGCAGAAGGTTAATATTATATACATTGTTCAAAAGTGTTCTTTGCTGTTTTTTGTGTCATCGTGTGCACTTCCTTTGTGCTTTTCTAGATTTTGATTGCAGGTTGTCTCAGGACAAGTAAGATGTCTGCTCAACTTTACGTAATAGGAAGTAATAAGGTATTTAGGACAGTGTTTTGTGCATTTATTAAAATTAAGTTCTAAAATACTTTTTTCATTTGTTTTTATTTTTTACAACAAATGTCTTTCAGGCTTATGACAATGTTTACTACTCTTCGTTTCCTTCTATTTGGAAAAGTCATGCTGTAGTTGTGGATTTGTCTCAAAAAAACGAAGTTTTTTCTGCCAATGAAAATTACCCATTCCTGTTGCTTGTTATTTGTAAATACTTATGAGGGAATTTTTTCTTCTTTCTTTTATAGTCAGCAGTCAGCTGAAGACCTTGCGCGAGTACCTGCCAACTCCACTAGCAATATCTTGAACAGGCTGTTGGTCAGTTATGATCCCAGGATAAGACCAAATTTCAAAGGTTTGTCCCCTCCCCGCCAAAAGCCTTTATTCTTTACAGTTTAAAAATTAATTTTATCTGTATTGAATTATTCTTCATGATATTCAAAATAGTAAGATTTTAAATTGACTTTAACTCTCCTGTAATGTGCTTAGGTTCAGAGCAATTTAATGCCTGCAATATTAAAAGATAAGCAAAATATTAATTCTAATAGTTTTTTATGGTTACCAGTTTAAAAAAAAAACACACAGAAAAAGGTATACTGTGAATTAATAGGCTAACCACTGTCATGGGTTTTTTAAGTACCAAGTATTCTTAATCTCTGTTGTTTAAAATTTAGGTTCTGGATACAGATCTGGCTTTCATTCACAGACACAAAAGTTATAATTCATAGAATGGCCATTTACTCATTTAGAGAAAGAGAAAAGTTTTGATGTCCATTTAGATTTTCTCTTACTTTTTGTTAGTATTTTACATTGGTAAAAATAATTCCCTCTGCTACTCTTTTGCTAAAAAAAGATGGCCATCTGGTTTTTAAAAACAAGTTAACTTTATGAATAAAAGTGACTGTGTCTTCTACAATATAGATTATTTTTATTCCAATAAAATATTACCATTTATCACACATTTCAAGAACCAAAACTATACTTGCAATAAAAGTCATGAGCAGATTGTACAGTTGTATAGATCTTTTGTGTGTGTGTGTGTGTGTGCGCGCGCGCGTGCGCGTATGTGTGCTTTTGATGAATTAGGAAAAGCTATATGAAAAAAATCTCCTCTGGAAAACTATAATTCTTGTTTCTGGTTAAAGGCAGGCATTAATGTAGATCAGATTAACATTATAAGGCTT